TGCCATCTTCCTCCGTCCTCTTAAATATCAAACCGGGCAATAAATGTGAAAAATTGCCAGTGGCTTTTTTTGTCCTCCAGTTTTCATGCAAATAACACCATCGACCAACCTGACACTTACCACATAATGAGAAGAGGGCGACGGGAGAGTGCGAGCGCAAGGGAGCGATAAGTGGGAGAATTGAGAGGAAGCATTGTTCGAAGAGACAAAATGATAAAACGGGGGCAGAAAGATAAATAGCGTAAAAAAGAAAAAGAAAGGAAGATCTGGGAGGAGAGCGACGGGCGCTTCAGCGTCCCCATCCTTTCTGGAAATAGACACCATTGTGCCGGCGGATTGGTCCCGGAGCCTCGTGGCGAGCATGTGATTGCAAAGCCCGGCCGGTCTGCTTGGGTGTGGGGGCTGGTGAAGTGGCTGCTTCAGAACATCATGTACAGACACAGGTCCAAACACATAATCACACACTCACACGCCACCTTCCACCTCCACAGCATGCTGCAGAGACGGGCTGCATGAATATTTATCGCTCCGTGATGAGTTCACACATCCGGCCGGCTTTTTCCGTCATCAACTCGCGCGTCGAATGTTCGGCAGCGAAACTTCCAGCATCTGACTCCTCCCGCCATCAGCGTATGAGGCGCGGTGACCCCGAGGTGTGGCCTAGGTCACATCCCTTTGGGGAGGCATCATACCACCGGCTGAAAAATGTTTTTAATAATGTCAGGTTCCGTCTGCCGTCGGAATAAATTTCAAATCAAAGACGTCTCCCGCCAAAAGATTAGCGCCGAGGTTACATTTTTCTGCTGGCTTTCATTGGAACAAAAAAACATAAATGTCACTTCTAAAAATGCATTAGGGAGAGCAAGCCACTGCTAGCGCTGTTCACAACCTTTCAAACCGAATTCATCAACTGCACACACACACACACACACACACACACACACACACACACACACACACATTTATGCTGCCCACAAGCGCACAAACTCTTCTCGCCATAAATGCTTCCTGTCCTGTGTGGATTTATTGCTGTGAGAGCAGAATATGTTGCGATTGGAAGACAGTGCTGTTCAGTCGCGTATGTTAAATACAAAACTTGAACAATCCGGTGCCTGTTTGTTCACCTGTGTTACATATTTGGATTGACTGGAAAGCCAATTCTCTTGATTGTGTGTGTGTGTGTGTGTGTGTGTGTGTGTGTGTGTGTGTGCGTGCGCAGCCCGTGTTCGTTCCATACAGGCCTGCTTCATGACCTGCCCTCTTAATAGCCGGTCTGCATTTGACACATGCAGAGATCCGCTGTGGACTCCCCGCTAGTTTTAATTGTATGATTTATAGCTGACAAAAAAAAAAGAATCGGAGAGAGGGGAGCCAATTACAGAGCCGTAATATCTGCGTCATGCCTCACATCCCCTGCTCCATCAACCTTCCACTACAGCAGTATGTGCCATGTTAGCCTTGACGTTCATTAATGACTAATAATTTGTGAGGTTTTCTGCGTTTGAATGTAAACGTGGCTTCTTATCCTTTACGGGAAAAATACAGGGTTTGTTTGTTCAGCAGGAAAAACTGGCAACGTGAAATGAAAGGCTGCAACTTACAACCTTTCGATCAATCTGCCAACTACTTTTAATCTAAATTGATTAATTGTTTGTTGTATGAAATGTCAGTATACGGCAAAGAATTCCCATCACAGGTGCCCAGAGCCCACGGCGACGTCTTGAGTGGTGACGTCCGACGTGAACACACAATTTGTTAACACAGTTAGAACTCTTTCCTCTTAGTTTTTATTTACATGAGAGATGTCTGTACTGGTGTTTAATATCTGAGCTGCTCTTCTCACTCGCTTTAAGGTTCCAGAAAGATGATGCACGTACTTCCATGCGACAGTCATGATTTAGCAATATTTGAATCTGATGACAACTGGTGGGTTGTTGTGCTGTTGTTGCCAGACCACTGAGAGACATTTTGAAACAGTCCAAATCCCAAAGATATGCAGGTTACTGTCATAAAGGTGTAAGATGACATCAGAGCTGGAACCAGTGAATTTTGCCATTTTGCCAAAAACAAATTAGTAATGATTAATCAATCATCAAATAGTTGATTCCTTTTTTACTATTGATCAAATAATCTACACATGAGTCTTGTAATTATTTAGTATCTTGATAACACAAATGTTATCAAATGTCTTGTAGGTTGTTAGATAAATCAGAATTACAGGAGTGTGTTTTTGAGGCTACGAGATCAACAAAGTGCTGACGTGATCACATTTTTCTTCTAATCAGGATTGTTATTGTTTCCTTCAAAGACATAAAACAATCCTATGTGTTTTACAGATAAATATTTATGTGTTAAATTAGATTTATATTGGTATATATATATATACAGTACATAACTAATTAAAGACTAAAAACACAAAACAGCAGGTATATATAAATAGGAGGGACAAATAAAATATAAAATTGTAACAGCTATGATAACAAAATAAAAATACATCAAAAGACACACACACACACACAGGAAAGTGTGTGTGTGTGTGTGGGGGGGGGAGTTTGGACCTCGGGTTGTTGGGCTGGTAGAGGCGATCTGCGGTCCACCCATGTGTAGCTGATATGGCTGCTGTGTGCGCTGGTGTGGCAAATACAACAAATGGTGGGTGAGACGCGCGGGCTGGCTGACGGGGAAACGGGGTCATTTAGTGTCATAACCTCGCTCGCGCGATCTACAGTCTGACACGCGTCTTTTTGTGTTTCTTTATGAGACGTGGTTTGACTCACTATGGGACTTTTTAATGGCCTCGTCTCTCTGAATGATCATTGGAGTTACTAATATAATCTGTGTCTCGGGGGTGTGTGTGTGTGTGTGTGTGTGTTGGGGAGAGGGAGATGGCGAATTGAGTGTGAATGCATGGAACGGAGTGTATTCTTTGTGTGTGTTGACGTGTAGAAAGTGTCGGAGGTCTCTGTGCTGACCTGTGCGTGAGAGGACGGGCTGTGTGAAGTGAACCCTCTTTAAGGATGCACAGCAGAGCGCCGCACTACAGCACAGCATTTACATGATCAACGCTTATTGCACAAAAAGTGTGTTGACGCCGGCGTGTGTATCTCCGTGTCCATCAACTCTGTACGTGTGCGCATGTAGGCCTATTTTAATTGTTGCCATGGAAACAGAGTGCTGCCAGAGAAGTCCAGATTCAAAGAGGGCATCTCTCTCCTCCCGTTCTCTCTCTCTCTCTCTCTCTCTCTCTCTCTCTCTCTCTCTCTCTCTTCGCCTTTTCTCATCTGTGCTGGCGTCTCACCAAGGTCCTCCTTGGTTTACACTCTCCGTCTCTCTCTGGTTTCTTCCCACTCCCTCCTCCCCTCTCTGTCTCGTTGTGCCTCTTATCATCCCTCCCACCTCTCCATCCTTCCTGGAGAGTGGTGTGCAATTGACTATTAACACAGGGACCTGTAATTAGAGCTGACGAACCTCCAGCAATTAGTTTTTCCCTAAAGAAGTTGTTCTGTCATCTCTGCACGCGCGTCCCTTTATCCCTCGCTCCATCTCCTTTCTCGCTTCTTTCCCTCTCTCTGTCATTTCCTGTCTTATTAGCTGTCAGCTCGGCGGGGCGGTTATTGTTTTGCTGTTTTTTGTTCTTCTTTGTACCTTCCATCTGCCTTGTTAAAGACGTGCACACACACAATACACCACTCAGAACAACTTCATGAGTAACTACACCCCCCCCCCCCAACATCCCGGGCATCTCTGCCCACAATATTCCCACCGACTGTACACCTACACCGACTATATACAGATAAAACTCGAGAGGACACAAGCCCTCCCACACACTCGGATGTAAACATACAGAGAACACACACACGTCTCTCTCTCAGAAAGCATTTTTTTCCTCCTTTGTCTCCAGCTGGCGTTGTTAACCGTCCCACCTTGCTGCCGTCATCTCTTGGATCTTACTAATTTCCCCTCTCCCGCTTTCATCGCCCCACATGGCCCAACCTCTCCTCTCCCTCTGCATCCCCGTTAATGAAAAGCTCTATAAATAAGCACGGGGAAGGGGGGGGGGGGGATGGATATGGTCAAGTAGAATGTGGGACGGAGGTGGAAGGATGGAGGGACGGCGAAGCGGCTGCGAGCGCTAAACTAGGCCAGCAGGGGTGAGGGAGGGAGGGCGGGTATCATATCAGAGTGTTTGCGAGTTTCTTACGAGCGCCGCTGCTGTCAGTCACTTAATCAATTTCTGCGTCCCGTCAAGTTTGTGTGCGTCTCGGCGTGTCACTCATCTCGCTCCGGACAGTCTGTCAGTCAGTGGAGTTTGGCGTGGAGCCGTCTGTTCGTCCTTCTGCCCTCTCTCTCTCTCTCTCTCTCTCTCTCTCTCGCTCTCTCTCACTCTCTCTCATTTGCATTCCTTGCGCCACTCGCTCCTCTCTTCCCTCCTTCCCTGCCTCGCTCCTCTCTTCCCTCCTTCCCTGCCTCGCTCCTCTCTTCCCTCCTTCCCTGCCTCGCTCCTCTCTTCCCTCCTTCCACGCCTCGCTCCTCCCTTCCCTCCTTCCCTGCCTCGCTCCTCTCTTCCCTCCTTCCACACCTTGCTCCTCTCTGCCGTCCTCCCCCTTGACAAGACCCCAGCATCTCATCTGGAGGGAGGGTTTATATCCTCCATAATATATACCATAATGCTGCGTCAGGACATTCCACATGAATTATTGACCGGCGTGAGATTATACATAAACTGTACACCACGCAGCGTGTATCTGCGTGTGTTTATGCACTATTTATGTGTGTCAAGTGTGACCTCTTCTCTCATCCCTCTTAGTTCGCTCTTCTCTCCCCTGAATGCCCCATTTCTGTGGACTGACATTGATATGCACTGATTCATAAGATGCATGTAGCCTCTCGGCGATTCACTTTATTCGATCAATGTTGCATGGTGCTATGTTAACCTCTATCTCCTTCTCTCTTTTTTTTTTCCTCTTTCTCCATCTCCTCCTCTTCCTCCATCTTTCCAGGTATTGCTCTCCCACTTCTCCACCATGCCTGTCTGCCGCGGCCCCTCTTCGCCTCGCGGCCAAGCAGGGGCCTCCTCCACCTCCTCGGCCCCCTCGGTCACCCAGGGGCAGGAGAGGCGGGTCCGACCCCTGCATCCACCCCCGCCTCCGTCGCTCCGCTGCCACACCGGCGCCTCTCACCACCTCTCCCTTCTCCTCCTGCTGCTCTGCCTCCTCCACCTGCCGCCGGCCTGCCACTCGCGGAGAGAGAAGGGCGGCGCAGGCGGCGGGGGAGGCGGTGGCGGCCACTACGTCCCCATCCCCCAGCCCCCTCCCCACCACATGGCCCTGCCCAACATCCTGCGCGGCCTCAGCATCGCCGTCGTCCTGGTGGGCAACTCCAGCGAGGTGGCGCTGGCCGGCGCCCGCGAGAAGGACGACTTCCTCCACATGGCGCCCAACGTGGAGGTGCTGACCATGAATGAGACGGACCCTAAGAGCATCATCAAGAGCATCTGTGACCTCATGACGGAGCACTGGCTGCAGGGCGTGGTGTTCGGCGACGACACCGACCAGGAGGCCATCGCCCAGATCCTCGACTTCATTTCAGCCCAGACCCACATACCCATCCTCGGAGTCCGCGGGGGCTCCTCCATGATCATGGCTGCCAAGGTAGGACCCTCAGAGTGCTTCTCCAGAACAATTGTGCTGGTTTTCAAACAGTTCCGGTTATGTAAAACCCCCCAAAATGTCCCTGTTTAGAGTAATTGTGCGACTAAGTATGTGTGGGTGGTTTGAGTGTTAAAATATAAAGAGGGCCTCAACCTTGGAAACGGTGAATACGAAAGTGTCGGCCTGCACTGATAAATGATTCATGTTAAAACGCCAAAGCACACTTGATACTACCCTCATTTAATTGTTTAGTCTTGTTATTTGGAAGTTCAACAGACCTACTTGTTGAATTGTAAGATGTGACGTCGTGCCGGTCTGTGAACTTAGATCTCTGCATTTCGATTGGCTGCGCTCTGCTGTCAATCATGGCCGTGCGTCTGTCAATCGCAGAGAAAGCTCGTCACGGACAGATTACGTCACCATTTTCATCAAAGAAAGAGATTTTGTCTACGCAGCCTAAACTACTGCTGTTTGTTTTTTGTAAATGTTATCGGTGTTCTGTCTTCCACATGCTGTCTTGTTATTTCTCATCTTTTATTTACTCCCTCATTGTGTCTGAAATGGGTCTACTTGTTCGATTCAGCAGGGCTCTACTTTGTGCTGACAGCCAAAAACAAAACACCTGTTACAGGTTGAGAGACACTTGGCTGCGCTTGAAAGCGAGACAATGCGCTTTTGATGTGCCCTTCATAACTTGAACCCATTGTCCTCTTCATATCAAGATTACCTAAAACAACAACAGGGAGGCGGACTGATTTGGCTGCAACTCCTCTCATCCCCTTCTGCATCAGTAGAAACTCTGGGTGCAGACAGACAGACAGACAGACAGACAGACAGACAGACAGACAGACAGCAGGCAGGGTAAGCTGGGGTGTCTGACTTGAAAGACGAACTGCCAACAGTGCTGATGATGCCAGTGCCAGGATCAGCTGGAGATTTCACCAGAACAGAGAGCTAGATCTCTGCCTATTTACTAGGCCTTGCCTAATGGGATAAAGCAATCTGCTGCTGCTTTATCTGTGCCCGCCTGGGATCTGGACTTGGACCCCATTCCACAAAATCATCTCATTCATTTGGTGCTTGGTGCATAAACGCAGCTGCATTAGATGATATGGAAAAAGCTCAATTTAATGTGCCTTTCATGTGGGGAAAGTGGAAAAACCTTTATTAAAACACTGACATTTGCTTCTGCTGTCGGGGAACTTGCTCGACGCAGTTTGATCCGCCCCCCCCCGTACAGCGCCTCGGTCTTATCTCAGCCATCCCTGTCCCTCTCGTCGCCCTCCAGGGTGCCCCCCCCCCCCCCCCCCCCCCCGGTGTCAACAGGTCTTTGTGCCAGCGGAGTCGTGAGTCACAGTGACACGGCAAGGCCAGCGGCCACCGCTGCTGCTCTTCTCTCTGTTCCTTCTCATTAGAGCACTAAGGAGAGGAAATGGCAGGGAACCGTCCACCCCCGTTTAAACCGGCACTCTTCCGAGCACACATTCAAGAAACTGCTGTACAGTACACACATTTGCTCACAGCCTAATGCACGCACCTTCTGCAAATATACCGGCCCCCTGAACTGCGGTTGAAATTGTCTTTAACCCCTAACCCCACTAATCGTATGTCTTAAAAACCACATAACTCCTCTAGAGCACTCCCTCCTCGGCTACATTGCATGTGAAAATGTCTTTCTGCATCTAATTGCATGGAAAGATTTGGGTATGTAGGAGGAGGAGGAGGAGGAGGAGGTTAATCTGGACGCAGTGGGGTGGTTAAGGAATGCATGGGACTGTGTGTGTGTGTGTGTGTGTGTGTGTGTGAGTGTGCAGGGACAGCATCGTTCATTAAGCACACGTGTCCTAAATGCACCAGGAGGCAGAAAAAGAGCAGCGTTTTGGGGCAACGGTTTAATTGGATTTCCCCGGCCACAAGCCAGAGTCCGCCTCTCCTGAGAGCTTCCTCCTGGCTGCACCGGGGCCCAGGAGAGCGAGGACGGGGCCACGCTAAGGCTCAGTCTCCAAACGGATTTGTGTCTGCCTAATGGGCTGAGACAATGGAGTGGTGAAAAATACGATAGAGAGGGATCAGGGGGAGGGGGGAGAGAGAGAGAGAGAGAGACAAGGTGGAAAGTGGAGAAATTGAGATAGTGAGGATGAGATTGGGTGGAAGAAATTCTACTGTGAGTGAAGCAGAGGGGTTTCAAGGTTTTTTTGTTGCCAGATCTGGTGGGGGCTCAGACGCGGCTGCCTGAAGAGGCGATGGACAGATAAGCGCAGAGGACAAGGGCTGAGTCAACAGCAGGAGAGGAGACCGAGTTTGACACCGTTCAGCCTGGAAGGAAAAGGCGAAGGGAGGGAGAAGGGAGGCAAAATGTCTCTGAAAGTGAGTGGGACATTCAGGCAGATAAAGAGAAATGAAGAGGGGTGAGAACGAGTGAGGAGAGAACTTTTCTTCCGTATGGACAGCAGAGATGGACGAAAAAACGATAGAGTAATTGTGGGAGATAGAAGGAAAGGTCGAGTTATAGAGCTTAAGAAAAATTGGTATGTGTTTTTCTCTTTTTGTTATTGTGAGTGAGCGTCCGAAGGAAATGGACTGACAAAGATTGGGAAGTGGGATCGCTATATGAGGTGTTTATCTTACTGCCCCGCTCTGTCACACACACAGACACACACACGTTCACACACACACGTTCACCGTCAAAACTGAAGGCCAAATGCTGCTATTACAGTTGGCAAGGCAGCCCCTCCTTTTTCATTACACATCCAAGGAAGGATGATAAAAGGGAGCGACACAAGGTGGAGAATACGGCATTTAGATTGTTTTAGTGAGTAGGAAAAGAATTTGGGGGAACAAGATAATTCCATAAAACATACCCTCTGTAGTGGACTACTACTGTTGTGCCATGTGAAAGAGTCTACAAGTAGCGCTACTTGGTTTTTGAGGTAAGGAAAGTTGAAGCTAAGCGCAGCATTATGTGGCAGAGGGAGATACAGCCCCCCCATCCAGTCCAGCATCATAACCCAAGACTTAAAAAAAACAGTTGCAGCATCCGTCTCTCAGTCGGCCTTAGGACTCGCTGAGTCTTCTGACATCTGTAACGAGGACAAAACTGGATGTTTTTCGAGCCATTCCTCTTGGGGATGGAGCTGCTGCTGCAGCAGCTCAGCGATAATCTCGTGGGTCTACAGCTGCCACTGGGGTTGCATCGGTGCATGCAGCTTGCCAGGTGGCTATCTGTAGTTACTGCCGGTGAAGAGGGAAAGCTTGAAAGTGAGAGAGTTGAATAGATGAAGGGAAGGAAAGAGGAAGTCATGCGGCTCCAGAATGAGCAGGGAATGAAGAGGAAGGTGGAGGAAGGGGGAAGCAGAGAGAGATGGATGGAGGCAAAGGGCACTCACATCTATATCAATGAGTGAGATCAGTGAGGGAGGGCTGGAGCGGTAAATAAGAGGACGGGTGCACCGAGTGCACGGCGGCGACTGAGAAAAGGAAAGGAGGTGAGAGATGGAGAGAGAGGGGGGGGGAGGCAGAGTGACGTGGAGCGTGTGTTTTGCAGCGAGTGCAGCAGCAGGTGCATCACCATCCATCCGGCGTGGCCAACGTCACATTAAGAAGAGAAGCTGCCTCTTCGCTCGGGGAGATAGCGGCCTAAATGAAGGAGGAGGAGGAATGAAGGAGGAGAGAGAGATGGATAGAGCACAGCTGTACCCACATCTGTGAAAGACAGGACAAGATAGAGGAGGAGGAGGGAAAGCATCCAACAATTTAAGGGTGTGTGCGTGTGTGTGTGTGTGTGTGTGTGTCTTTACCTAGCCAACACGGCAGTAGCTGCCAATCTTTTGTCTGTAGTGGTTTCCAGCGCCACCCTGCTCGCCGTCCCTCTACGGTGTCTGTTGGACTGCAGTAATCAGCGTGATCTAAAGCTTTGGCTAATGCTCACATTATCGAGACACGGCGAGCCGTTTCTTCCTCAGCTTTGTCTAGCAAGTGCGGCTTTGTAGCGGTACAAATAGCTGTAGTTGTCGTCGATCACCCCAGGGCCCGCTACATAATACCAACAGCGAGCTAATCTACCAGCGGAGGCTGCCGGCGCTGTAGATTATAGGAGGGAGATATAGCGTCGGGGTGTAAACGTTGGATCATCGGCAATTAATGAAAAACTGAAGACCTGGGGGGGAAATATTATATGAATATCACATACATGCAAACATATGCAGGCAGACGCACAAAAACAGCATACACGCCCACACATGTGTTGTTGGTTTTTTAACAAATATATGGGAAGACGTGTGTTACAAGGGCGATTAATGTATGAATATTAAACACACTATGCTGAGCTAGATCCACGATTGACTGCTGCTGCACCGTCGTCATCACGTACACACATAACACGAAGAGACGCACGTGCCTCACAGGCGCTCACACACACACGCACATACACACACACACACACACTGCCACCCTTTGTGTGTAACTGGCAGCCGTCTCCAGGAACAAAACAGCGGGATGTGATCAATTAACTTTTGCCCAAATAATTGAGGCTTTTCATCGTTTACAGTGTGGTCTCTTTTGGCCCGTGGGTGTTTCGAGCCTTTTGTGAGAAGAGATTGAGCGATTTTGTGTCCGATGCACAACCGTGTGTGTGTGTGTGTGTGTGTGCAGTTAAATGTGTGCTGATTCTTCAGAGGAAACGGGCTGGTTGATAGTGTAGAATTGGTGTTGAACTGTGTCTAGGGATAATTGTTGTGGAGGATGTGTGTGTGTGAGCCAGTTGAACCATTCGATCACGGCACAGGGGTGAATTCAGGGGATCAATTATTGTCCTCGCCTCATTTGCCAAAGAAGCTATTTATCTATGTTCATCCTACATTTAGGGGGAAGAGTCCTGTTTTCACTTCCTGTTTTCCACGTCCTCATGAGGGTTTTTTTTTTTTAATCCAGCGGTTTGAGCCTAAATGTGCCAGCATTCATATTCCCAATTAATGTCTTACAATAGCACCTATTGTAGTAAT